GCAACCAACTGATACAGCTAACGAGATAAACGACTCCTTCTCAAACATAGGGCCTGATCTCGCCAGTAAAATCCCACGTACCAACGCCCGTGCCGGGGACTACCTAGATGGGAATTTTCCAAATTCCTTCTATCTTGTACCAACTGAACCCACGGAAGTCACCGCGATTATAAAGTCACTCAAAAATAACTCAGGGAATCTGTCTCACGTCCCACCATTATTGTACAAGCGAGCGGCCCATGTCCTTTTGCATGCTAATTTCATTACTTTTTAACAAGTCACTAGAAACTAGCACTTTCCCGACACTACTACAAGACAGCAAGGGTTACACCAATACTTAAAGGAGGTGACCCTACAGATGTAAACAACTATAGGCAAATATCAAACTTACCATTGCTATCCAAAATCTTCGAGAAACTCGTGCACAGGAGACTATATTCATTTATAACGGCCACAAAACATCCCCAACCCCTGCCAATTTGGATTCAGGAAAAATAAAAGCACTAATGATGCAATTGTAAAAATGCTAGATCTCCTTTACACAGCATTGGAAAATAAGGAATATCCGCTAGGATTTTTTATTGACCTAAGAAAAGCGTTTGACACAGTAGACCACGGCATCCTACTCCACAAACTTGACCATTATGGTATAAGAGGCCATGCGCTTGCATATTTCAAATCCTACCTTACTAATGGGTATCAGTATGTCACCATTAAAGACACAGCCTCATCAACATGGCCACTTCACTGGAGTTCCGCAGGGAAGTGTCCTTGGTCCCCTGCTCTTCCTCATTTACATTAATGATCTTCCAAACGTATCCCAACACCTGAAACCCATTCTCTTTGCTGACGACACGACTTACGTCATCTCCCACCCTAATCCTGCCACCCTCAACACCATTGTCAACGAGGAGCTGCTCAAAATTCTGACTTGGATGGCAGCCAATAAACTCACACTTAACACTGACAAAACCTACTACATTATGTTTGGTAGGAGAGCAGGTGTTGTGCAACTTAACATTAAGATCGACAACACTCTAATTGCCAGACATAATGAGGGCAAATTCCTAGGTCTATACCTCGACAACAACTTAAATTTCAGCACCCATATCCAACACATAACAAAAAAAGTATCCAAAACGGTGGGGATCCTCTCCAAGATACGATATTACGTGCCGCAAACTGCCCTTCTCACACTATACCATTCACTCATTCATCCATACCTCACCTATGCTATTTGTACTTGGGGATCAACTGCAGCAACACATCTAAAGCCAATAATAACCCAACAAAAAGCCGCAGTAAAAATAATCACTAAATCCCATCCCTGGCAACACCCCCCCCCCCCACTCTTCATAGATCTAAACTTACTCCCTGTTCAGACCATCCACACTTACTACTGTGCAATCTACATCTACAAGACCTTAACATGAATAAACAAAAAAAGAGATTAACAAATTTTTAACAGACAGGCAGAAGCCTTTAACAGATTAACAGAAACGTTTAACAGAAAAACAGAAACTAAACGGTTAAACAAATAACAAAACTGTCAGCAATATAACCCTCTTAAGGCCTATTTTTAGATCTATTGTGTATTTATATATTTTTGGATGAATGACCCATATACTAGCATTTTCAAAGGGAAAATTTATATTTCTCCTAAACACAAACACTATTGAAATAAAATTCTGGAGCCAACACTATAGCTTCTTCCTTCAGGCGGAGTAATTTTAGAACTAAAACTATAAATCGCTGAACATTACAATAATAACGTTCTATCATCACCACAAAAATGTGTAGAGGAGAAAAATACAAAATAAATGAAAACAATTCAAGGACAGTTGAGAGATGGATGTGATGATGACACATCTCAAAAATGCCACATCCGGATGGTGGCATATATATATACAGGTCTTAGGTTCACTACTGACACATTCTGCAACATCTAAGGTCCGTATAGGTGAGTTCTGGTTCCTGAACAGTATCCACTGTTACTAGAAGTAGAGAAGCCCTTAATACCTGCAGTCTACCTGGAGGTTATTTCTGGGGTCTAGGCCCCCGCGGCCCGGTCGACGACCAGGCCTTCCGGTGGATCAGGGCCTGATCGTAGTCCAACGTACGAACCACAGCCCGGCTGATACGGCACCGAATTTAGGTTTGCTGTGGTAAATTAGACACATGTGCAACTCTTGGGTATCTTTATTAAGGAAACGTTTCGCCACACAGTGGCTTCATCAGTCCATACACAGGAGAAGCTTGAAGAATAGGAGAATGAGGTAATCAGTCCCTCAACCTTGAGTCGATGTGGTCAGTCCATCAATCTTGAGTAGAATACGGCATATGAGCGGAGAAGGAGCTTATAAACCGTAGGTAGGAGAGGTGCAGCAGTCATAGGTGGTGTCACATTTGCCCAATGTGGAAGTAGGTCGTGCCCAAGGGTTAGGCAAGCGAAGAATTCCCAAGTATTAAGATCCCAAGAAGTTGCAGTGTCTGATAGGATTGTAGATGAATGGCTCACAGAACCGACACGTTGATAAATTAGACACATGTGCAACTCTTGGGTATCTTTATTAAGGAAACGTTTCGCCACACAGTGGCTTCATCAGTCCATACACAGGAGAAGCTTGAAGAATAGGAGAATGAGGTAATCAGTCCCTCAACCTTGAGTCGATGTGGTCAGTCCATCAATCAGTCTATCCTCATATGGAAGATTTCTGATACATAGGATCAACTTTGCAATCCTCCTTTGTACGTTCTCCATTCTGTAATACGGTGACCAAAACTGTGCAGCATAATCTAAATGAGGCCTAACCAAGGATATATAGTTGAACAACCTAAGGACTCCTATTATTTATGCTTCTTGATATGAAGCCAAGGATTTTGTTCGCTTTATTGCGAACACTTATGCACTTATGCACAGACCGGGCCGCGGGGGCGTTGGCCCCCGGAACTCTCTCCAGGCAAACTCCAGGTAAACTGTTGTCTTGGTTTTAGATTACTGCTAACCAGAACTCCTAAATCCTTTTCTCAATCAATAATATTAAGATCTACATTATTTAGTTTATATGTGGCATAGCATGTAGTCCGCTTTATTTCCAGTTACTTGAACACAATGTTCATACACTAAGCATTATCACTGTTCATGATATCTTATTAAGAAATTTTAACGGATAAACAAACTTTTAACAAAATGTAACAATGTTGTTAGAATTCCGTACAGTATGTTAGATAAAAGGACACAAGTGCAACTAATGAGACATTTTTTGTGGCAACGTTTCGCTCTCTAAAAGTTTTGTCAAACCATTACAAACATTACAGGGATACAGAGTGTATATATATATATATATATATATATATATATATATATATATATATATAATATTATATATATATATATATATATAATATAATATATATATATAATAATATATATATATTATAATATATATTAAACAAAATACATTTACAGAAAAAAACATAAACATGAATACAATGGCACAATGTATCAAAGATCATGAATTTCCTCCAGCTCCTCCGAGGCTGGACGTGAGCCAAGTATGCAGCAAGCATTTCCCCTCTGGATGGCGACTCTGAGGCGCTGGAACATGAAAGTGGCTACCCTTGGGTCCCTGGTGGTGTCGATGAGTCTGGAACCCAATTCTTTAAGGAAACGTGTGGCATTTTTTCCCCATGATCCCAAGGGCTCTGATCCCACTGGGACAAATTGATACTGTTGGCTAATGTCCCTGTACTTGCTGATCTTGTACTCCTCCCAGTGGTCAGCAGCTCCTCCCTGTCGCCCCACACTGTGATGAATATAGGTGTCAGCCAGTGTGGACACACAGGTATAGTCCCATGCTAAGAGCTTGCCATTCTTCCAGGGATAGATGGTGATCCCGTCGGGGCGGTTTGCTGGGTTGTGGGTATTGTTTGCTGCAAGTGATCGTGGCTCCCTCTCGGCAGGGCATCCAGCTGTAGCAAGGGTTCTCTTAATGATGTCGTTGACCTCATTGTGTCTTGCATGCCAGCCCTTGGTTTTGGAACAGTTAAGACCATGTAGACCGTATTGGTCTGCTTGCACTTCGCCGCAAATACACATATATTCTGTGTGAATTGGGGCAGCAAGGCGCAGAGCCACTGCAATACGGAGGGTCTTAGGGTCGAGTCGCGTTCCCATTGCCGATATGGGAACTGTTTGGAGGAAGTCCCCGGAGTGATGTGCACTCACAGCCTGGAGACGGGCAATCTCCCTATCTGATGTTGCAGCCCTGAGCATGTTGGCAAGCACCTTTTCAGCAATTGGGCCATCCCAGCTTGACTGTTTGTGAGCCAGTGCTGCACTAGGGTTTGGTGTTGGAGCAGCAAGAGTCTCCCATTCGGTGATGGCACTGGCATAGATAGGGTCTTCTATTCCTGCTGAGTCACTGAGGGTGTCAGGAAGAATTTGTCTTATCAACTCGTTTGATGCAATGGAAGTGGATAGGAAAGCTGGTAGAGCAATCTGGGAGGATCTGCGTACTCCTAGCCCTCCATACATACATATATTGTCTATTGTGCATTCATATTTTTTTTGGTATGACTGAATCATAAACCAGGGTCTTTAAATACAAAATTAAAATGTCTACTAAATACAAACTATATGAGAATTTAGGCAAGATTTAAAAGAAATTCTGGAGCCAATAATTTATCTCTTTTTTCCATGCGACGTAATTTCAAAACTAAAGCAATAAATTAGAACAGTAAAGTAATTAATTAGAACAGTAAAGTAATTAATTAGAACATTAAATTAATTAGGACAATAAAGTAATTAATTAGAACATTAAAGTTAACTCCCGTCATAAAAAAAGTTAGATGTACAGACGAATGTGTGTAGAGGACAAAAGGACAAAATTAATGGGGAAAAACTCAAGGACAGTTGAAACGTAAGTGTCACGGTGACACATCTCACATCTATCACATCCGGATAGTGGCATATATATACCTGCTGTTGACCCTTTACTGGTACACAGCGTCCAACATCTAACTTCAGGTAAGTTCTCCCTCCTGCCCAGTGTCCACTACTACCACTAGAAGCCCTGAGACGAGCTTCGTTAAGTCATGACTTGACAAAGCTCTACATAGAATGAAAAATTGTCTTTATAAAGTTTTACTCTGCGCCAAGTTTCTTTGGCAAACTTGTTGACAAAACCTGCCATCCGTCACAATCTTTAGGTAAGTCTCGTGAAGTGAGTTTATTACATTTCTGATGCTCATTTAACTTGTCACTTTAAAGCTGTTCTCCTCTCCTATAAATTTTGCGTCTGTCGATGAAATTTTCTTTCGTGTGTAAGACAAAATTTATCTTAGAGCAAATATTAATGTCATACCGAGATGTAGAAAAGACAACTGTTTACAATTCTGGACATTTATTACAGGAAACGTTTCGCCACTTGTGGCTAAACGTTCCCTGTTATAAATGTCCGGAACTGTAAATAAGTTTTTCTCCTGCAATTGATCTGATAGTCACGGTAAAACGTTAAACCCGTTATAAGGTTATAACTATAACCATAATTTTTAAGGGGTGGACCTGTAAGCCAGTAGAAGGCATCGGTCATATGACCAAAAGCTCGAACGGTGTCAAGAAACACTAGTCTGGAAAAATGGTTATAAATGACCATAATTTTTAAAGGGGTGGACCGGTAAGCCAGCGGAAGGCCTCGGTCAGATGACCAAAAGCTCCAAAGGCGGGTCATCATCTGACTAAGACCCGCGTCAGGAAACATTTGTCCTGTTTCCTGACGAACCTTACCTAACCTAACTAGTCTGGAACCTGCGTCAGGAAACACTTGTCTTGTTTCTTGACGAACCTCACCTAACCATAATAGCTACACATTTACCGAGAAATGAATGGTTTACTGTAATTCTTTAGATCAAGAGATTTACACCATTATTAATTTACGTCGGGGTAAAGCAGATCAATATGTCAACTCTGCAACAGTAACATTGCAACACTTGGCGGTGTTAGAAATCAACACAACGCGTGAAGAGTTGTTCCCACGAGACTAAAAGACCGTTCAGGTTTCAATGGTTATTATCATGTTCGGATCGTGTTTCTTCCACCAGCATTGTTTTTTTTTTTTTTTTTTTTTTTTTTACACAGGGTTTGACAAGGTTAAGGATCCCTAGCTTTATTGACAGCTATTTACAGGTTAAGGATTCCTAACTTTATTGGCAAGCTAAGAGCTGTTATGATTTTGTCTCTCTCTCTCCAGTAGTGTGTTGAGTACTCCATCATATTCTGATCATGTCTCTCCCTCCAGTAGTGTGCTGATAGCTGAAGCATGAAGCAGTTTGGTTATCTGATCCTGATGGCGGCGCTGCTGGTGCTGTTCTTCGGTTCTGGTACCGCAAAGGGACGTTTTCCATTTGAGCAGTGTGTCAATAAAACAGCAATGAGTAAGTATCACATAACTCGGCTAGGCTTGTGTAGAGTGAAGCTGTCTTGACAGTAAACTTGTCTAGTATATCGGGATGATGGAGGAACTTATAACTTAGCTAGATAGTGACGTTATCTAGTGTGACAAAATAGTGAAGGAGCTCATGAAACTTAGCTTGATCATAAAGTTATCCAGTGTAGTGGAGGTAAAATCTTACGTTGTTCATGGCAGAGGCTTAGGGAGGACACCACAAATTCAAACTAACCCTGTCAACCACATAATTTAAACTATCTCTCCCTCACTGTATCTCTTAATATCTTCAGAGGCTAAAATGTGTGCCGAGCTGAATTTGAGCACTACCGAATGCGCCGACAAAAAACCTTTGATCAAGAATTGTACCAAGGCCTTCAAGAAAGAAAATTTTTCGACTTTCGTCGGGTGTGTGAACGATAAGATTTCCACCAACCTAGCAACCAGTGGTAAGTACCAACACCACCATCAGTGGTGGTTAATTAATATCACGGTCACTACAGCAGCACCATGGTAAGTACCAGCACCATCATCAATGTTGGTTAATATCACGTTCACTACAGCAGCACCACTATCAACGGTTGACAAGACCGTTGTTGTGGCTCTTATTTCTTGGAGCCAAGATAACATCTTTCACTATTATTACGAAGAATAAAAGTCGATGCTGCTTCTGAAAATTCATAGCTGAACCACAATTTGTAGAGGAAACTTTAGATAACGCTTCGGTCCGTCCTAGACCATTATCAAGTATAAGAACATCCGAAGATTGATTAGGTTGGGAGATAAGTATAAAGCCGATGTCACCTTTATAGTCTTCATCAATAGGGTTAAACACTCTCATCGTCAAAGCAGACTTCACTTGACCTGACCTTATCTTTCACCTGTCTTCCGGCATTATCCACTGACCTCTCTCACCTCACTTCATAATGAGCCAGTAAGAATTTATGAAGTCTTTTTTTAGTAGCGTACTGCTACCCTATTCTACATGACAGTTCTACAGTAGGAACAAAAGCTAGCTAAGATTCCCTGCCACATTACCTTACATAGAATGAGGTTCATGAATCAAGTGATGAAGTCTGTCACTCTGAGTTGAGGGACTTTGGTAGGACACTGAAGATGTTGTTCAGCATTCCATGAATATATTAGTACCAACAGTAACCTGTAAGAGTACCGTTCAAGCAGAGCTGGAAATCTAATTGAGAAATATATATATGGTTTGTTACCTGGACCTGTAATTATTCAGAATAAAACTATCAACTTTCACGTATACTATGCTCTCTTTTTAAAAATTTATACGATTTAATTGTAAAACTGTTATGATAAAACCATCTCATGTTTTGACAGTTACCTCAGAAGAACTGGAGTCAGCTATTACTGCAGCGATTGAGAAAAATAAAGAGACAGTGTGTGCTCAAGTCCCGGCTGTGATGACCTGCTTCAAGGACGCCACAAACATGGTGAGTTTATTTTGTGTGCGTGTGTACCCACATATATGTGTTGTAGAGATCGATTCACAGCTCCTGGCCCAGCCTCTTCGCTGGTTGCCACTAGATCTATTCTGCGTGAGTGTGTGTGTGCGCTCACCTATTTGCGGTTGAAGGGGTCAATTCACAGCTCCTGTGTGTGTGTGTGTGTGTGTGTCCGTGCATATATTCGTGCAATTATTACCTCACTAGTTGTATTTACAATGAGAATAACATCTGTATTTGGAAAATTTCCTTCAGTACCCCTGAGGTAAGTCTTGTGTCCTGGACACAAATGTTGAAACAAAGTGAAGATAAAATTTTAAACTCTCTCGTGACATGTCAATAAAGTCTCCACATAATTATTACTGTAATGGTTCGATTCTCATTTTTGTATCTTCCCTCTTAAATGTAAAAGAGCAGCTTTATGTTTCCTGCATCACAGACTTAGTCGTAACTATCCTTAAAACCGAGTATAGGGGTTTCCACCAAATAATCTACTTTATTCCACTTTTAAATTACCCTCTGGTTGAAATAATACTTAATAACATCCCAGTAACTCTGATGTGCCCTTAACATTGTCTCTTAGTGCCCGATCTCCATACAAATAGATTAGTTGTGTCGCCTGTGTGGCTAGTTTACTGTGTACCCGCAACTCATCCTGTCAGCAGTAACGTAGAATCCAAGGTTACAGAGGTCACAATGGGTCCTTGTCATTCCATATTTTACAATTACTAAGTTAATGTATACAATGCAGTATGGAATACAATATCAAAAAAGGTATTACCACTCAAAAGAATTGTCATAACTGAGGTTGTAATCTCCTCTGTAAAAATAGTTCATTCATCTAGTCGATGCAAAATGTGGATACAACCAGCAAAGTGTGTGGACTGAGACAGTCTCTCTGTCTGTCCTATCAAATCTTGATTATCCTGTACAGTGTTGTAATGTCTCCCCTGGTTCTTCTTTCCTCTAAGAGTCTTAGATCATCAGTTTTCTTGTTTTACCCAAGTTTTCTGGTAAAATAATCTTCATTATTTTTCATGCTTCCATTTACAGCCTCAGAAGATCTCAGAATGTATCAATCAACCTACCAAGTAAAGGGCCACTAAAACGTCAACACACCTGATGAACACTGGAACTCCCTGAGAAAACATGGAAAATTCACGGACGTCCTTCCCTGATTATATTTTCTTCTCTATTACTCAAGAATCTTCCTGGTGATTCCTTGAAGATTCTTCTTTAAGATTCATCAGAAATTTCGTAAATGATGATTCCTGACAATCTTTTATTGTCTCATCGCCACAACTTCCGTCTCCATCAAAGTTAAAAAAATTGTAAACATCTATTTTAGTTAGATACGAGAAAATGACAATGTTTCTCTACGACACGAGAACAACACGAGAGAAACAACACAAGAAGCAAATACAACAAAAAAAACTGAGAAAGCAGAAACATACCTGTTGTAAACACAGCAACACAACAGTTACTTGTATATTATAAGGTAACTAAAATACCAACATTACCTACGGAAGTAACAGAAGTGAAACATAAGGAAAGTAACAGGATAAACTAACGGCTGCTATAACAGTAACAGCAGCAACAGTATTCATAACAACAGTGACATATTCAACGTTAACAAGAAATGAACCACAACCTACGATGGACCACAACACAAGCTGCAGTAACCCTTAACAACAACAACAACAAACAATAAAAACAATGTAAACAACAACGTCAACTAACGTGCAACTAAAATTAATGACTCATTGGCAATGACAACTTTGATTTCTTTGTATTTTTCAAACATTAAATTATATTTTTTAAATTTAGTTCCATAATATATATATATATATATATATATATATATATATATATATATATATTATATATTATATATATATATATATATATATATATATATATATATATATATATATATATATATATATATATATATCGTAGTAACTTTTGTTTTCGTTAATAATAAATATAAATTGGCAAATTTGTGTTTTACCTGTCATATTCAGTACCTCCAAGAACTGTCACTCGGAATCCGCTAACTCCTCAGATAACTACAATTTATTCGATTCTGAATGAATTTCGTATCTACTGCAAACTTTATTTTTTCCATATTCATTGTAGACCTCAATGGTGTGTCTGAATAAGGCTGTTATTTCCATCTGTGACGCACAGCACTCTTTCCCTAGACTTTTAGTTTGGTACTAGTTTGTGTGAATAATAATAGCCTCAGCTTTACCTTATGCGAGCTGAGGACTTCCCTACCACGTGCTGAGGACTTCCCTACCACGTGCTGAGGACTTCCCTACCACGTGCTGAGGACTTCCCTGCAGACGAAGGCGAAGGGTCACAGAGCTACTGAGTGGGGTCAATATATCTGAAATACGAAGGGAAGCACTAGTAAATGAAATTGCAAATATCGAACTTAAGCTGAAGGAATCTTATAGGAGACAAAAATCACAGGAAGAACTAAAAGCCATAAAGAAAATTAAAAAAAAAAATACTTCTTCTCTTATGCCAAATCAAAGGAAAAAACAACATCCACTGTTGGGCCCCTGTTTAGGTGGGATGGGACATACACAGATGATAGCCAAGAAATGAGTGAGATACTAAAGTCCCAATATGACTCAGTGTTCAGCGAGCCGCTGCCCAGACTAAGGATCGACAATCCAAATGAATTCTTTAAGAACGAGACCCAAAATTTGGTCATTCCAAAAACTCTCGGATATTATTCTAACTCCACAAGATTTTGAAGAGACAATTAATGACATGCCCATGCACTGTGCCCCAGGCCCAGACTCGTGGAACTCCGTGTTCATCAAGAATTGCAAGAAGTCCCTATCGCGTGCCTTCAGCATTTTATGGAGAGGGAGCATGGACACAGGGGTCATCCCACACACACTAAAAACAACAGACATAGCCCCACTCCACAAAGGTGACAGTAAAGCAATTGCAAAGAAATATAGACCGATAGCACTAACATCCCATATCATAAAAATCTTTGAGAGGGTTCTAAGAAGCAAGATCGCCAACCACCTAAATACCCATCAGTTACACAACCCAGGGCTGTAGACGATAAACAATTCACAGATATAGTATACACAGACTTTGCCAAAGCTTTCGGCAAGTGTGACCATGGTGTAATAGCACACAAAATATAGGATAAAGGAATAACGGGAAAAGTTGGTAGATGGATCTACAACTTCCTGACAAATAGAACACAAAGAGTAATAGTAAGCAGAGTAAAGTTCGAGGCAGCCATGGTAAAAGGCTCTGTTCCACAAGGCACAGTACTCGCTCCCATTCTATTCCTCATCCTCATTTCTGACATAGACAGAGATGTAAGCCATAGCTCCGTGTCTTCCTTTGCGGATGACACCCAGATCACCATGACAGTGACCTCCGTCAAAGACACCGCGAGACTCCAAGCGGACATCAACCAAATCTTCGAATGGGCCACTCAAAACAATATGAAGTTTAACGAGGAGAAATTTCAACTACTCAGATATGGAAAACTTAAAGAAATTAAAAATGTGTCAGGGTATACCACAAATTCTAACCATACAATATAGCGGAAAAGTAATGTGAAGGACCTGGGAGTGATAATGTCAGAGGATGCCGCCTTCAAAGACCACAACAATGTATCTATCTCACCCGCTAGGAAATGATAGGATGGATAATGAGAACCTTCAAAACTAGGGACGCCAAGCCCATGATGATTCTCTTCAAATCCCTTGTGCTCTCTAGGCTGGAATACTGCTGTACACTAACTGCCCCCTTCAAGGCTGGCGACATTGCAGACCTGGAGAGTGTACAAAGAATTTTCACGGCACACATTAGTACGATAAGGCACCTAAAGTACAGGGAACGGTTGAAGGTCCTTGATCTATATTCCTTGGAACGCAGGCGAGAGAGATACATGATAATATACACTTGGAAGGTCCTGGAGGGATTGGTAACAAACCTGCACAAGAAAATCACTCCCTATGAAAGCAAAAGACTCGGCAGGAGATGCAACATTCCCCCGATGAAAAGCAGGGGCGCCACGAGTACACTGAGAGACAACACAGTAAGTGTCCGGGGCCCAAGACTGTTCAATTGCCTCCTAGCATATATAAGGGGGATTACCAATAGACCCCTGGCTGTCTTCAAGAAGGCACTGGACAGGCGCCTAAAGTCAGTACCTGACCAACCGGGCTGTGGTTCTTACGTCAGCTTGCATGCGGCCAGCAGTAACGGCCTGGTTGATCAGACCCTGATCCACCATGAGGCCTGGTCTCAGACCGGGCCGCGGGGGCGGTGACCACCGAAACCCTCTCCAGGTAAAATCCAGGTAAACTCCAGGTAAACGTTCTGAGGTCATTTTCTCCATCACATTATGCTTGACTGTTAACTTCATGATCGACGGTATACTAAAATATATATATAACAGAGATTCTGCTCAAGAAAACTAAATATACTTTTAACAGACAAACGAATTGCCCCTGCGTGTGAAGATAACTCCTCTACAACTTTAAATAAATACAGTTTTTTAATGAGGTCACATAGAGCTGTGGTGAGCAGTGCAACGCCCTTATATTAAACCTTAACGACACCCCCAGGAGAAGGCTCATTGTGTGGCGTGATTCACTGACACGAAATTCAGACCTTCAGACGCAAGGTCATTTTAGAGCGACATACCTAAAGAAGACCAACGATCCGTGAGGAGTACAAACATTACCAGAATGCCTTCCACATCCTCAGCACTTGCACTCTCACGCCTGGACCATCACTGTTGAAGGACGCTACCAGTCTCCATGAAATTGTTATGACCTTCTCCTACCGATGGTCTGTTTGGTGTCCTTCGCTATGTCGGTTGAAAATAACGTTGCATCTGAAGATCTGAATCAGTACTCAAAGGTGAGTACCAACCACAGCATTAACACTGGTCAGTATCACGGTCACTACAGGGTCCCAAGGTCAGTACCAGCACCACCATCAACGTTGGTCAATATTGTTGTTGTAGTTGCTATAGCTTGGATCTAAAATATCATTATAATTCTGAAGAATAAAAGTCACAATATCGCGTCTGAAACAATTTAAACAACAATTTGGAAAGGAAACTTCAGACAAGGTTTCGATTCGTCCTGAACCATTATCAATTTTAAGAATATCTGAAGATCGATTAGGTGAGGATATAAGTAGAGACAAAAGGTCAGATTAATTAGTCTTCTTCATATTCTCATCGTCAAAGAAGACGTCACTTGACCTGACCTCAGCTTTCACCTGTCTTCTGGCATTTCCAATGACCTCTCTCACATGTCACTTCATAATGATCCAGTACAAATTAATAAAGTCTTTTTTAGCAGTATGTTGCTACCCTATTCTGCATGACAATTATACAGTGGAACAGAAAAGCTATCTAAATTTCCCCTGTCATATTCTCAAGCGATGAAGTCTGTCAGTGTCGAGGGGCGTTAGGACACAAAGTATCGTTTAGCATTCCACTAATAAGTCAGAAGCAACAGTAGCCTCTAAGAATCGTTTTAGCAGAGCTGGAAAGCTAACTGAGAATTATATTTATGTTCATTAATGTAATTATTCATAAAAAGTATTCAGCTTTCACATATACTATGTTCCATTTGCGAAATTTATATAATTTACTGGTTTTGTTATGATAAAGTCAAAAGCTTGTTTCTTTTGACAGATGACATATCTCCTGTCCCAGCACCTATAGTTCATACAAGGATATCAAGATATGGAAATAAATGGTATAAAATACCGACACAATGGCAATATAAACACAAATGCAGTATAATGTGATCCTTTATTGACTACGTTTCGCCCACACAGTGGGCTTTTTCAAGTCACAAACAGAACTACCTGGGGTGGAAGGAACGCGAGTATTTATAGTCCGGCTGAGGTCAGGTGAAGAATGCTGCATCTGATGATGTACCGAGTTGGGTTGTAGAGTCTAAAAACTTGGGTAGCTTGGAAAGGAGACTGGACAAGTTTGTGAGCAGACCTTCTACAGTGTTCTTATGTGGGATAGCGATGAAGAAGTTTCTTGGCAAGTGGTTCAGCTATGTTATAGAAGCCACTATTCTGTTGAAGTTGTGGGATATAGAAATAAGTGTATTCAGGATTCTTGGGTTTTGGGGTGTTGCTTCTGTGGCGAAAGTCTTGAGTTTCTGTAGTTTATCAAGTGGTTTGGTTTTCGGGTGGTACGCAGGCATCCTTGTGTCGTCAGACCTCTTGCGTATTGGTGTTCTAAAACGTGTTTGGAGGCCTTGATTTTCGCCCACGTTAACTTGTTGCGCATTACAAAGGGGTTATGTTACCCCCTGCAGAGGTGGAGGCTTGTCCTCCCCACTACTGGGATGTCCTGAGGTCGTGGTTGTGGAGGTAGTACTTGGAATGTGTTTTTGGGAAAAAATGTTGGAAACATGTTTTGGGAATGGAGTTGGTGGGAAAGGGTATGATTTTTCTCGGCTGTTTCTCTGGGTGTTTGAAGATGTTTAGTGCTCGCCGTCTGCGTTTTGAGAATGAGAGGATAGTGGAGTTTGGAAAATACCGTTCAATTTAGTGCATTCTTCCTCAAGGAACCGTTCTGCAGATTCTGAGTGCACGCAGGGAAGCCTTTAAAAATTTCACCACGTTTGGTTTTGGTGTCGTGGTGAGAGGAAAATGGAGAAGATCGTTTTGGTTGGTGGGTTTTCGATAGACTTTAAAAGAAGTTCGTGGGGCACTTTGCGAGTGAACATCAAGGAAAGGGAAAGTGTTTTCGACCCTTCTTCAAATGTGAATGGGTTGAAAAGGG